AGAAAGGGAAGAATCATGTCTGGGATTTCAACTTTCTATGGTGGCAAGTCCATTCTCATCACAGGGGCCACAGGCTTCATGGGCAAAGTGTTGATGGAGAAGCTGCTTCGCACCAGCCCCAATCTGAAAGTCCTTTACATCCTTGTGAGACCCAAGGCTGGCCAGACCCTGCAGCAGAGAGTTTTCCAGATCCTAAATAGTAAGGTAGGACTTCTGGGAAGGGCACTGTGCGATGGGCAACGCCTTATAGCAAGATGACTTACTACAGCGTCCCATTACAGCCCCAGGCCACAAGTAGGGGATGAAATATCTGGGCAGGTAGAGGGAAAGAGATAAAACAAGATAGCTACTTTAAATTATACTCATCAGAATCTGTAGTGTTGCCCCATAAGAAGCAAAAGAGTGCTTAGATTCTGTCCAGAGCAAGTAAGGAAATCATCTATATTCTGGAAATTACTATGTAAGAGCCAAAATACTAAAACTCCAAAAGTGGAAGCTCCAAGCTTGAAATCTGTTGCAAGTTCATCCAAATTATTATCTAATTTTCCCTCAAATTTTAGGTTTTTTTCCCCCAAATCTTTGGATATTCTTCTATTGTATTTTATTCCATTGCATATGGAAGAGATAGGATTGCTAAATAGCCATACATTAATACTTTTAGTGTCTAAACTCCACAATGTTTACCTGTTATGCACTTTATCTGCGGAAAATTGGTATTTACATTATCTCATTGTATTTATATGTTTCCATAAGTCCTTATAAGGTAAAAGCATTGGAAATGAAATATACCTGTGAATTGCCATTTTGTTAATACCAAATCCTCTTTTCCCTCCATAAATAAATACTATACATATCCTCTCATGTTTTAATTTATAAATTTGAAGGTGGTCTAGACTTTGGTCTCAAACATATCTGGGTTCAAATTCAGGCTTATCAGTTTGCTATAACCAAACCAAACCTGTTGCCGTTGAGTCGATTCCAACTCATATTGACCTTACAGGACAGAGAGGAACTGCCCCATAGGGTTTCCAAGGAGCAGCTGGTGGATTCGAACTGCTGACCTTTTGGTTAGCAGCCGAGCTCTTAACCATTGCACCACCAGGGCTCCATCAATTTGTTATATGACCCTGAAAATAATCACTTTACCTCATAAGCTCATTTTCCAATGTTTAAAATTGAATCTATAACAACTACCTCCCACTATTGCCTTAAGAATTGAATGAGAAAATGCAGGTGTTTGGGTCATGGTGCCCTTTGGAATGGACTGGATCATTTAGGGTTGGCAAACTTAAATAGAGCTTTTTTTTATTGACAAAATGTCCCTCCTTTCCAGTGTGTCTAGGAATGTTAACATCAAATAGAGACATGTATATCTGATAGCAGAGCCCATTATCTACTGCCCAGTAAAAATGATGCTCAAATTTATTGGCTGGCACCAGATTTTGATACAAATCATTATGAAGAGAATCAGAAAAGTCTCCCCTGTATCTCATAGCCTTACTCAGCAGGGGGACAAATTATAATGATAGCTAATATTTACTGGAAGCTTACTACATGACAGCATATTAAAGAGTTTTTCATGCCTTACATCATTTATCTTTGCAAAAACCCTTTGAAGTAAAAACCATTAATACCCTGATTTTATAGATAAGGAAACTGAGGCATGAAGGTTTAACTTACAAAGATCATGCAGCTAGTAAATGGGAGAGTCAGACTTCAACACCCTCCCACCCCCACCTTGCGGAGTGACCCCAGGGCCAGCACACTTGTCCCTACCTTAAACTGCTTGCAAGGTAACTAATAGTTCTTAAGAATAAGACCCAAATGACTGATATGGCATAAAACCAAAATCTAGAATAAACCCCCAGGCCCTCTTAAGACAGTTTTGCTCAGTTACACATCCCCAGTAGACTTTGTTTTTATCACAGAGCAGACATGCCTCTTTAGCCTAGTAGCTTTGGTGCCAGCTTATGGATTTTTAAATGCTGTAAATATCATGGTGGCACAGTGGCTGCTAATCAAAAGGTCATCAGTTTGAATCCACCAGCTGCTCCTTGGAAACCCTACAAGGCAGTTCTACTCTGTCCTGTACGGTCGCTATGAGTTGGAATCCACTCCATGGCAATGGGTTTGGTTTGGTTTTTAAATATGGCAGAAAGTCTTGTGGCCAATCTTTACCTCCTGCTCCTTTAGGTGCACTGTATCTGATATTATAGCGACATGACATTTGCTCTGAAAATCTAACTTGGGAGTGGAGAAGTTTCTTAAATAGACTCTGAATCTGCTCTCTGGAAGGAACACTTTTTTCTCTCATTGTTTTTGTGGCCAAAGACTCTACCTCTGGCTGAGGTTCTTCCTTGTTTCTCTTGTCATATCTGAAGTGGGTGTTAGGGAGTGGACCCACCTTGAGGGCTTTATAGCTTTCATCACTGATCCTAGTACAGTAAAATTTGGAACCAATGAATGCTTTCAGGTTTAAGGTCAGTTATTTCCTGTTCCTGGAGCTGTGGAAGAACAAAGAAACCCCTTTCATGGCATCAGTGGTTCATAAACATAATAGAACAACTTGACATCAGTGAAAAGCATAAGTAAAAGAAGTAATGAAGAAGTGAAAGAAGGAAGGAGTGTGTGTTAGGTACAGCATCACCTGAAAACCGAAAAGCTGGAATGCATTAAACTTGTTCATTCAACAAGTATTTATTAAGTACCTACTAGGTGTCAGCACTGTAACACATGAAAGTAATGACAATGAAAGGTCTGAGATTTAAAAACTAAAGGGAAAAAATCTTGGTGGTAACTGTGTTGGTTTTGACAAATCCAAAACGTTTGAGAAATTGGTGTGTTGTTTGCCAAACATAGAACGCTTCTACTCTCACTGATTCTTAAATTAGGAAAGCACAAAACCAGACAGAATTACTAGGAATTGAAAGTTTTATGAGTGTATTCCCTTAAGTAATAACCTTGTATTGGAAAGTTGGTTGGGATGTCCCACATGTTTGAAATAACTAAACTGGACCTTTCCCCCCAAATTCTGACCAAAAAAGTACAAAATAAGACAGGACACACCATGCTACAACTGCATTTACCAGGCATGGAGCCTATGCTCATTGGAAATGTGTCAAGCAGTAAAGAAGAGTTTATTCTTTCTTTCATCCTCTCACTTCTCTGTGGGCACAGTGTTTTGCAAGTGTTGGTTAACATTCAAAGGGAAAAATACAAACACTCAAATGGAAATTTTTATAGCAATATAAAACTCCAAAACAAAAACCCACTGCCATTGAGTCGATTCCAACTCATAGTGACCCCATAAACTAGAACCAATCAAAATGACTAAATAAACAATGGTGCATGCATGTGTTAGACTAGTATGCAGACAATAAAAATCATGCTTTTAAAAATATTAAATGACATGAGGAAATGCTTATATTTAGTTGAAAAAAGACACAAAACCATATTCAGTATAATCTCAGTTAATGACCCTAAATGCTGATATGATCTTGGATTAATTTTACTTTTTGCCATTTCCAAAATCTCAAATTGCAATTACAATGAATATATTTTGCTTTCATGATGAGGAAAAAAGCAGTTTTTTTAATAGTGAAAATATAAGAGCAGTAATCTTCTACCTTGCTAGGTTTTCCATATATAATTACAATGAACAAGTTTTACTTTTATAGTAGGAATAATAATAACAGTAATAAAACACCTTTCAAGTAATAAATAACTAAGGCAGCAAAGCAATCATGAATTTCCAAAATTATGTCATCAGGTATAAATTCAGTTCATTTTTAGTTTTTAAACTATTTATGAAAATTAAATAATTTGACTATTTTTTTAGAAATATAAATCCATGTATTCAGCATTATTTTTCAAAAGATATCTTCTACCTTTTTACACAAAATATGAGGAGCTTCTTAGGAAAACAAGCGAGGTTACATAGGTTGGAATGTGAACATGCTCACCACAGACCAATGCTATTCAACTTGTGGGTCCTCAGGGCAGGGTTCCCTCCTCGCTGCTTATCCCTTACTTAAGAAAAATGTGCTCATTAAATTATGAACTGACCAGCTTTCTATTGTGCAAAAACCATTTTTCACTTATGTGTTTAGATAAATTGTATACTAATTTTCTGTCTTAATATGGCTTTGCTTAAAAAGACATGGCTCTTCCCCGACTAAGAGATAATAAGTTGTAAATAAATCAGTTTGTGAAGTTTAAAGAAATGTTGAAAGCATTTTGAGGTTCTTTAATGCTAACTGAAATGTTAATCCCAGCCACTCTGCAGGAGAAAAGACCTGGCAATCTGCTCCCGTAGGGATTTACAGCCTAGGAAACCCTATGGGGCAGTTTTACTCTGTCACATAGGGCCACTAATGAGTCAGAATCAACTTAATGGCACACAACAACAACAGTGTCTTAAAGATGTGTTTCTTTTTACAACAATCATGTCCCATTTATATCCATTAAGGACCTCAAGTCAGTGATAATCTACTCTGAATAACTCCTTAAGAAAACATCAGGAAGACAACATCCAGGTCATATCTGGAAAATGAAACCCTAAGTAGTTGAAATTATTTAAGAGTAGCCCTGGTGGCACAGTGGTTAAGAGCTCTGCTGATAATCAAAAGGCTGACAGATCAAATCCACCAGCCGCTCCTTGGAAACCCTATGGAGCAGTTCTACCCTGTCCTATAGGGTCACTATGAGTCGGAATTGACTTGATGGCAATGGTTTTGGTTTGTTTTTTGTTTTTGTTTTTGTTTTTTTTCCTTGGTATAGCTAATTAAGAATGATGGTGAGCAAACAATCTAAAAATGTTCCATTGAGAGACTACCAAAAATGGTTGGGCTATTCCTGTTAAACTATAGTAGGCAGATAAAGGAAAGGATTACAATAACCACTGTCTTAGTTATATATTGCTACTGTACGAAGTATAAATCTAGGAAAATTAGAAATCGTAAAAAATGAAATGGAACGCATAAAGATCGATATCCTAGGCATTAGTGAGCTGAAATGGACTGGTATTGGTCATTTTGAATCAGACAATCATATGGTCTACTATGCCAGGAATGACAACTTGAAAAGGAATGGCATTGCATTCATTGTCAGAAAGAACATTTCAAGATCTATCCTGAAGTACAGTGCTGTCAGTGATAGGCTAATATCCAAATGCCTGTAAGGAAGACCAGTTAATACGACTATTA